TCCATAACGTTCAGAAGAAATATACCTCGTGTATATCTCTAGGAGTAATGGTTAAAAACGAGCATCCTTTTCGCACCAGTATTATCGAAGTGAACCTAGTTAGCGTTATTTAACACGAAACATTTTTCGCAGGTCGTTTAAACCTTTTACTTTTTGTACCAAACCCACAAACGTTGCAACCAAGAATCTACGGAATGGACAAAATTTTGCATGGTCTATTATAAGGGTCGAAAGTTCTGATCATTAATATGTTTTGATTTTTTTTTTCCGAGAAAGTGTTCATATCATACATTTATTTCAGGAATCCGAGAACCTTATTTGTATCACTGAAGACAAGGTCCAGCGTAGATTGGTTGAAGGTTTGCTCAAAATATCAAGCAACTCGAGAGCTCATACACGAATAAGACGAACTGCGGATCAAGCGTTTGGGAAGTATTTCAACTACTCTATGGTATCGTGTTCACAGGAACGGGTAGTGATGAGATTTTTCACAATGTCAAAGAAGCATTGTATGTGCGTCCACCACAGGTGGGGCACTATTGGTGATAGTCTTTTATTTAAATTCGTAGTCCATATGCGGCCCTTATCACATTTCCATTGTAAAGGAGTCTTATTATCTGAAGAGAGGCATTCCCCATTTTTGGTACATGCCGGAGGCTATGCCGTCTCAATATTATGATGATTGCATTCGGGGCACCATATATTTATTTTTACATGATCAAGACTTGCGAACCATTTATGACATAAACACTTACCATTTTTCATAAACGCAATTTTATTAGCTTTTTCAAGGATAGACCATTTGTGACCTATATTACAACTCAAAAGAAGCTTTGATGAACTATCTGTTTCACTATGATAATATTTGTTATATCATTGAATTTACTCAAAATTATACTAGAAATGAAATCAGACAAAAAGCTAGAGAATTGGCAGAATCATGTAATTAAAGAGCTACTTAAACCATTAAAGGAGATCGAAAAAGTGAGAAAAAGAAAAAGGGAAAAAAGAAATATAAACATTGACATAAAAACATCAATTATTCTATCATTTCTATAATCCTACAATATCTTTTGTCATTATAATTTGCTTATTGTATACAAAATTGAAATCTTTGTAAACTGAATCTAATCCTTATCTTTATCAACGTTTCTTTATTACCGTTTCTTATTAAAGTTATAGATTTTTATAAGTTAATATATATAAAAAATCTTTAATTAGAACTTGTTTTATTTTGTTTTTTTTTATTTGAGATACTATTAGATACTATCTAAAAAATTAATTAAAATTATCTAATATTAGCCGCAGTCTTCTTACGAGTTCTGGTCCACTTTTGAGTTAGGCGGTATCAATTTTATTTTTGTTAGCAATCACGTGTTCTGTACCGGTTCTATAGACCGCGTTTACAGGACGCGATCGATTATCAAATAAAAATAATATAACTTTTTTATCTAAAATCGATACGTGTCTTTACTAAATGGCAACATTTAATAGTGTGAATAGTTATCTCTTTGCAAACCCATTATGTCCAAAATCTATTTTTTGGACAAATTTAATACTTCTGGGTTTCAATCCTTCGGTTCATGCAACCGGCTCATACTCAACCATAGATTTTAATAAAGACATGTTCGCGAAAGGACAAAGCTCTGTGAAAGCTATGGAACTAATAGTTTGGTTTTTATTTAATGATTTGGACAGTACATTGACAAAGGATGTAAGCATATAATTTCCTATTTCATTTAATTTTAGATATTATATTTTGGGTAAAGTTTTTTTGTAATTGATTTTTTACATTTAGAGATTCTTTGACTGTTGGCCAGTTCTTACTCCTGCACATTCAGCAAAATTTCGCAACATCGCTTACAAGTGGTTGGAACAATTGAAAAAGGAAGGGTGTTTAGGGTACACGGATATCATATTAAGACGAAGTGCGTTTGATGAGTGTCAAGGTGAAAGGTAAATTATTAAAAGTATTATTATGAGTCATAAGATTTATATTATTCGTTTAACATATTCTCTAATAAAAAAATAAAATAGGTTCGAACGCGTTATAATGGCATTTTCGAATTATGTTGTCAAAATATCTCTTGATAGAGAATATCAAAATTATTGCCAAGGTAGAAAAAAAAAACTAAATTTAATTAAAAGTGAACTAAGAAATATCATTGACCCCGTTGGATAAATGATCTATCAGAAATTAATGGGTTTCTTTTACTTTAAAGTTTCTCCGATTAATTTTAAGATTTTAAAAGAATCATCAGCGGATTTACTTAAAGTAATATTAAAGGTAAAAAAAATATTTAATTCGATTCGCATATCTATTCTCCTTTATTTACCTTTGCTATTAATTGTTTAATTCGAGTAGATTCATATAAAAATACAAACGGATAAATTTGTGATTGGAACACGAGAACGATTAGCTTGCCATGAACATTGGAAAGATTTAGCTAATAATTTATCTGAACGTTTACGTAATGTCACGGAAAAAAACGTATTTATCAAATTTTTTTATCAAAATACTTTGCACGTTTTTTAAGAGAATGATTCATACTTTTAAAATTTGAAAAATTTTCATAGAATCAATTGGAGCGAGAAATATCTGGATTTTATAAAGGAAAATACTTGTTTGAAACATTTGATAATTTATCAATAGAACAACTTTCTTCAATAAGATCTCAGAAACTAGAGAGTGCCCGTTCAGCATGGAATTCATGCTTATATTGGATTAGGGATAACCAAAAATTTACTGGTATAGTGTTATTTTGTTTTGCAATACCGCAAATTAAAATATTTAACTAACTATAAATAAATAAATAAATAAATAGGTTGCGTTGAGAACATCATACATGATCGTGCAAATAATCATAAATTAGATGGACAAGAATTATTATTGGAAGTTCCCGAAATTATGATAACTATGTGGGAAAAAGCTTTTCAAAAAGTGTGTGACTATATTTATTTTATTCTGGATCTTTATGATTGTTTAATTCCTATCATTTACTTTGTAAACTTTATTAGGAACAAATCAATCCTTTTCAGGGAGGAAAAAAAGATCTTAGATCTTTATTAAAATTATGGAAATTTTCTCTACAAACTTTAAGTAATCAATTTTTTAAACCATCAGCGATTAAAAATCAAGAGTTAAGTGCCAATAAATATGATAAGTTCAAAAATGGGAATCTATCTTGTACTTTAAATAAACTTGAAGAATATCTGCCAGAACAACAGGAACAGATTAGAAGTCTTTATTCACTTAAAAATTTATTGCGTACTCGTTTAAGTGGAATAAATGAATCGATTAAGTCATTACATGAAGTTGAGGATCTTGGTAAATTTTTTAACTTATTCATTTTATAATCGTTTCATGTATGATAATTTAAAAAACTAATAAGTTTTGACATTTGCAGGCCGCAAAAAAATACTTGTAGGTAATAAACTATAAAATTAATTGTCCTAAGCGTAGCAAATGACCTTTTAATACTAGACATTTTAAATGCAATGTCGTTCTGTCCGCCGCGTGATCAACGAATAAAAATTTGTTTACATAAATCGCTTCGGATTAGAGCGCGTAAAGTAATTTTAAAGCGATAAATGCACGTCATGCTTAATGTGCCATCTTTTAATTTTAAATTTGCCAAATTTGTTGCATATGAAATTGATTGTAACTTTTTATTTTCTATTGTAAAAGTCTTATATAATTAATTAATTTAAGTTAGAAAAATAACAATATTGAAAATACTTTTACTACTATAAATTATTAATATATAAAGCTAATTAACATTTAAGCAAATTAGTTTAAACAATAATTTTTAAAAAATTATTCTTTAATTTTAAAATTAAATTTGATGATTTTATTGAGTCCGGAGGACTCTATATTACAATACGTGATGTTCGGCTCACGTGATTGTAACATATTTTGTATTCAGCCCGTAAAAAATGGTAGCCGGATTTTATTTGCCGGGGTCACATATACTTATTAGGGGTGACATATAATTGTGACAATTAGCATTTTTCTCAAAAAAATTTCTGTTCCCAGAATACTTAATAAATTGAAAACCGGCTGGGATGTGAAGCTATGTGACAAATTTGCTAACCCCCTTAACTATTCCTAATTCTACCCTAACCCTAATTCTAATTCATATTCTTAACTCTAATACTACTAATACTAACCCTAATAATAAATACCCAGCAAATAAAATCTGGCTACCATTTTTATGGACGAATTTTAGATTTAGATATTTGTAACACTTTTATATTTTAGATTTAGATATTTATCAAGCCTTTTGATTTATAATTGAAGGAAAAATATAAATATTCATTTCATTTAAATACATTAAATTGAAAACAAATAGTTTAAAGCATACCCTTTGTAATGTTAAAGTTTAAAGTATATAAAAACAATACAAATTATAAAGTGAAAATAATGTTTTAGTTTAGTTTTTTATTTTTATTTTTATGTTATCATAGTATCATAAATGTAGCCTTTATTCTTCAATCTTTCTTTTTTTAGTCTTTTACAGTTTTTGATGTGTTGAAATTTATTAATTGTGAATGGTACTAAGCAAAGATTATTAAGTAAATGAACCTGTGACAATTACACAAATGTTAGACTAGCTGAAAACTTTTTTTTAATATCTATTTTGGCTTTTCTTAAAGTTAAACCTTAATTTTTTGAGTCATTATAGCTCACGTAAGATATATTGGTACTTAAAGACAAAAAAAGTTATTTTATTTTTACCTTTTCAACTACATATAATAAGCAATTTCTTTTCCTTTTATAGTTGTTATAATAGATTTATTATAATTTGTGAATTTAATAAACACTATTAGAAGTATTAGCAATGTCTTCTTTTTAAATTATATATTTTATATAATATTCATCAATCTATTTACTAACTTTATTTGAATTTATAGATTTACTATTAATATAACATAACAACTTTTTGATTATAATTTTTATTTTGAATTTTAATATTATTTATTGCTTATCACGTGTAGATAGTTAGTGTTGATTTATATTAATTAAGATTTTACGTTTTAAACTTGAACAATAGTTCTCTGAAATTTTTCCTAACATTAGTTAGTTTTATTAATTATTATTACTTATATTATATATTAATTATCATTTCTTATATTACAGTTAACTCTTGTTATAACAAACTCTATGTCTTAGATCTCAACTTCGCTATAAGGTTATAGTGAAGATTTTAAGAGATTTGATTGGCCAATTTACTATAACAAGAGTATTTTTATTATATTTGTTCAAAAAAT